TGCTACTACCATTTACCCAATCTTAGTGTTTTGATATCAACGACAGTCTAAAGTTCTATTATTTGGTTAATCGATAATATAAAAAAAAAAACGCAATTTAGTTTTAATGGAGATATACGGACAATTATTAATTACACTTATATTAATAATAATACGAATAACCAAAGAATTATAACAGCTGATTAGTGAATGACAAATTAGTTTCTCCACACATCTATTAAATTCGTTGTTCGAACTATTAACCTAATGATTATTGACTGGTTTAGAGTGACAAAAAAAATATATTCTCTCTTTTTTGAATGATATAGAAGTGTATATTTCTTAATGCTATTACTTGACACTTGTTAGTTATTACGCTTTAAAGGTTTGTCCTTGAAGAAACTACTATTTATTGTTTTTGTTATCACCTAGTGTCTACGGGTATAATTGATTAAAATCAAAATAATATTAATCACATTTGGCCTATTTTGACATATTAAATGTGTAGATATGGGTTTTTATCTTGAAATCGTTTTTAAGCACTGTAATTTCTCATACGYCATAAATCATAATATTAATGTTATTGAGGTCACTGGAGTGACWACAGTAGTATCATTGAACGATTACCTAAAAGTAAGTCTGCCTTTTAATTAGAACGTTTCTGTGTTACATTGGTTACATTCATTATACAATCTTTACGGCCGCTATAGGTMGTAGGGAAATATTTTTGTTTTTATTTTTTAATATACCTGTTATTTCTCACCATATAATAAAATGTATAAATGCAGGTAATAATAATAATTTKTATAACCTCGAGAATTATAATTTGAATATAAAAAGATGACACGTAGACATTGCATTATTTTATTATTATGTAGGTATTTTATTCAACTGCAATACAAGCATAACATTACACAAGTTTACTGAAATAGTTTGAAATTACAACCTACAATAGTATTAGATGTGTGATGTATATCGTGTAGATATAATATATAAATGTGGTTCAGATTGTAACGTTCAAATTTGTCTATTTTAATTTTTTTTCAAGTACTTTTAATTCTTAAGACTCAGGTGTTTCGGAAAAAAATTGCTWACATTTTAGGTTAGAAGTTCAAAATCCCAAAATCTAAAATACTTTGGTATTTGAATTTTCTGAATATAATGTAGGTATTACTGCATGAGTTAAATACGTCATCAATCATCGATCA